GAGAGAGAGAGAGTGTGAGAGTGAGTGAGAGTGAGAGTGTGTGAGTGTGAGAGTGAGAGTGTGTGAGAGAGAGTGTGAGAGTGTGTGAGTGTGAGTGTGAGAGTGAGAGTGAGTGTGTGAGAGAGAGTGTGAGAGTGTGAGTGTGAGTGTGAGAGTGAGTGAGAGTGAGTGTGTGAGTGTGTGAGTGTGAGAGTGTGTGAGTGTGAGTGTGAGAGAGAGTGTGAGAGTGAGAGTGAGTGTGAGAGTGAGAGTGAGAGTGAGTGTGTGAGTGTGTGTGAGAGAGAGTGTGAGTGTGTGAGTGTGAGTGAGTGTGTGTGTGTGTGTGAGTGTGTGAGTGTGTGTGAATGTGAGAGTGTGTGAGTGTGAGTGTGTGTGTGAGAATCAGTCGCATGCTTACAGTCATTTCTGTACCGTTGTTTGAACTCCAGTATGTTTAATCGCTGCATTTTATTCATTTCTTTTCACCTATAATAATTCATTCAGTATGTGAGTATATAAATGTTGATGTATGAAACACGTTTTTGTCTCGGCTTCTTTTCCAAACACACTCACACACTCCACTGAAGAGTTTATATGTGTGTTTAGAGAATCGATTGTCTTTAACTCTGTTGCTGTTGAAACAAATGATTGAATGAGAAGGGCAGAATTATTTCATATTATATTTCTATTCGCTGTAACTCATGGTAAGTGTCCTTCACGTATTCTCTATTCGTTTAGAATATACGAGCATTTAATTTGCTTCTGTAGTCGACTCATATGAACGGTGTTGGGGAAAGTTACTTTTAAAAGTAATGTATTACAATATTGCATTACTCCATAAAAAAGTAACTAGTTGCATTACTGTCTAGGGAAAGTAATGCATTACGTTACTTTTGTGTTATTGAGTCGCTTCTTTATTTTTAGGAACAAAAAACCAAACAGAAGGAAGTGCTTCTGTCTCACTCCTCGCTCATCATTTCTCTCAACACGGAGATGGGAGAATAAACGGGAAAACAAAGTAACTTGTGTTACTTATTTGAAAAAGTAACTATTATTTTCTTGTAAATTTAAAAGTAATCTAAAATGAAAAAGTAATCTGATTTCGTTACCCCCAACACTGCATATGAACGTGTTTGTGCATTTGATACGCGCATATATAGTTTATTAACAACAATATTATATGTACAGAATAAAAAACTACAGATTAATGGAAGAAACTTGTCCATTTCTGAGGAGCTAATAAACATTTTCTATCAATTTTGTACAATTCTGTCATTCTGGTATAGATTTTATTTGTGAGTCTCTCCTGAAGTTCAATGTTGTGTGAGCATATTGAAAATAAAGAGATCGTGTGTATTTATATTTCAATCTTTAGTGTCTCATACAGTGTTTGAGCTTCCATTACTGATTTTTGCATGATCTTATTTAAATCATTCTAATATTAACATGCACTCACTGGTTTAGTAGTCCAAACCTGTTTTGACCACTAGAGGACTTCATCTGCTCGGGATGAAACTATAAACCCCTTGAACCCTGATCTCAGAGCTCAAACAAACCTACAGCCATGAGAAACACACACAGAAGCACTTTAATCATTCTGAGTCCGTTTGTTCTCGTTCATCAAAAATCATCATTCACTCTCCTCATGTCGTTCCAGACCTGTGTGAGCTTCTTTCTTCTGTTGAACACTAAAGAAGATATGCTGAAGAATGTTGGGAACCAAACAGCTGCTGGTAGCCATTTAGTTCCATAGTATAAAAAAATACTCTGGAAGTCATTGGGGATCAGAAGCTGTTCTTTTGTGTATAAAAGAAGAAAGATTTAACATGAGGGAGAATAAATGATGACTGAATTTGGGTGAACTATCCCTTTAATATGTGAACCACATTTGGACATTAATTGATTTATTGTATTTATTTATTTCTCTCAGAGTCTAATGCCTGAAATGACTGATGTGTTTCAGAAACATGCCTGACCTCTGTGAAAATCCGCTTCCACGTGACTGATGGATTACTTCCTGTCTGGCATCAGAGCACTTAATCAAACATCATTACAGCCCTTCATCTGCTGCCTTCAGACACATTAAATCCTCCGATCCGACAGAATCAGCCTTACACTCAAACAGCATTATAATGGTGCTGACAGACGGGGTCCAAAATAAAGAAAAAACTAAATCAATCCGCTAATCAACGCAAGGCCTTATTACACAAAAACCTTAAAAACAGAACAAACGAATGGTATTTTTCTTTAGTTGGAAAACATACGTGAAAACGTAACAGAATTATAAGATTAAAAAGATCATGACACCTGTTTATTATTATTATTTTAATATGTATATTGAAGTTCACTTGCAGAAAAAAAAAAGTTTTTAAGGGGCGGGTCCTTTTTAAGGACGTCATTTTGATTGGCTAACGCCCCCTCACTGCTGCACGTTTTTGAAAATAGTATACGTATAAAACCATCAGCTACTGACAAACGTTATGAAATCATTTACTTACGGTTTGTGGTGCAGCTGCTGTCAGATCCAGTACAGTTGGGCTGCTTCATCTTTCAATAAAAGTTTCTTTGCAATCTCTCCATTACACTGTGCTTCATTTACTAAACAATCTGCAGTCAAATGCTCCGAATAAACATATAATCCTCTGATGTGATTAATAATAAAGCATAAACTTATTCCTGACGCTGGGATCCTTCTGAAGGTGGTACAGAGACGTGAACAAGCTGTTTACACCGGACACGTCAAAGCGAGCGCTCTTCACTGCTCTGTTTGTTCTGCTGTTGATAACCTCGAGTGCGTCACAATCTCAACGCACACCTGTACTCTATCAGTCCAGCGTCAGTGACTAAACTGTTTAAATTTAACTCAGTGTTTAAATGGGTTCTGTGTGCATCTGACACGACGCTTGTGTCTGGTACTAGTAGCAGGTGTCAGCCGTTAAATGACTGAACGCCAGTGGGCGGGGCTAATAATACGATAACGTTAAACGATTGGTCGATGTCTTGCTCTAGAGGCGGTCATATGCAAATATGTAATATAACGCATTTGGAGCTTCCCAAATTGAATCCCAAATTTTCCCCAGACATTAAAATATCCAAATGATTTGCCATTAGTAACCCTTTGCAAAAATCAATAATTATTTTTGAAATTTTTTGGGAAAAGTGTGTGAAAAATTGGGTTTTATGGTCGGTCACAATTGTGAGCGGTGGGATAATGTGTATACTGAATTAACATATTTCTGCACTCATAAAAACTTCTATATATCTCAGCTCAGCTATTTTAAACTCTGTTTGATCACATTCTAGGGTTACTATTATGCATAAAAACCCTTGAACAACACTGATAGGAATACTGAGATAAAAGACTAAAAAATAAACCATCAACGTATTTCAAAATTGTTACTTTATGGTAACATATATCATAAAATTGTTATACTAGTGCTACCAGTATTGCAACATCAATATTGTAACTTGAATTTAGTGCAATATTCATTGCAGCATTTTAGTGCAGCCTTCACTAATAGCTGCAACTGGATTTATGTTTATTTACCTACATGGACTGTATTATCCCACCGGTCACTATTGTTGCCATCAACATGTTTACTCATATTTGACTACTCTCAGCAAACCGTAATAATTTTGAATTCATATATTAATACTAGACACCTTGAAGATAACATGTACCAAAAATCTCTGTCATGTCTTTATGTTAACATACTTTACTAGCCTTTTGTTGTGGAGCTTTGATGCAGCATCATCTTCTCAAGGTGCAAACAGGAAGTACACTGCTCTGGTCATGTGACAAGCTGAACTATCCATGTGACACTGCACAGATTTAATTGAGACCCTTTACTTTTTCCATATTTGCAGGAAATGCACTAGTAACATTATAAATGAAAACCTTCTTTACGGTCACTATTGTGAGGGGTGGGATTAAATGGGTTAAATAAATACAGTTTACCTGCAGGATGTTGTAATGGTACAAAAACCTTTTATATGCCAAAAGCTGAAGGAAGAGAGTTAATTGAGTTCTCTTGTTGTGACCCCTTTGTTTTACCGGTCAAGCGGCATCAGATGAAAGGCTCATGCCAGTGTTAATGCAAACCATGCTTCTGAAACAAACTAACAATAAAGGTCAGAAAAGCCAGCCGGCAGGACAGATGCGGTCCAGCAGATTCACAGATGAGAGTTTCTCTGACTTCATGATGTTTCTGTGGAGGAAATGAAGGCAAGCGCTGATCTGCTTTAGATGCGCTGGTTTTAATGTGCTCTGACCTGGAAGCAGGAAGGTCATGGATTAGTTACCCATGATCCTCTGGTTCCTCCCACGCGCTCGGCTCGGAGCCGTAAGTGGGTCACGTTTGGTCATCTGAGGTACGAGCTTCAGAAATGAGACGCTGAGGAGCTTCATCTGAGCGCTGCTGCTGATCAACAAAAACTGTGATTTACACATTTTTCAGTCCGTTCTGATCATTATTTCTC